TTTGAATGGGCCAATAACCATGCTTCTGCTTCTGTACCCCGCTTCTGCTCTATAAAAGTACCAAAACCCAGCATGGGGGCGCGCAAGTCTTCCAAGGAGACTTTGTGCCCACAGGTACCTGTGTACTAAATAAACCTCTTGCTGTTGCAACCCGAAGGCTGACTTGTCCTCAGTGGTTTCACTCTTACAGTATGTATGTGTGTGTGTGTGTGCCTGTGTGTGCACTTGTCATGGCGTACCTGTGTGGAGGCCAGAGAACAACTTTCGGGAGTCATTTCTCTCCTTCTACCATGTGGGTGGAGGGGCTCACGCTCAGGTATCCAGACTTGGCAGCGATCAGCTTTACCAGCTGGGCCCCCCGCACCCCCCATGTTGTGTATCAGTCTTACACATCTGTTTCTGATTTCTTATACTTCTTTTTAAAATGTATTTATTAGTTTTATTTTATGTGTATGAGTGTATTGGCTGCATGTGTGTAAATGCACTCATGTTGGGCAATGCCTGCAGAAGTCAGACGATGGCATTGGATCCCCTGGAACTGGAGTTATGGATGGTTCTTAGCTGCCATGTGGGTGTTGGGAATCAAACCCCGCTCTTAACCACTGAGCCGTCTCTCCAGCCCCTTCTTATACTTCTTTTGTCAGATTTATCACATAGTTTTCAATGACATGATAAAGGGCTTTATACTAGTCATTCTGAGCTGACTAGCGGTTTCTTATTTCTTATTTATTTTTGGTTTACTTGAGACAGGGTCTACTTGCAGCCCCAGTTGGCCTGGAGCTCACTACTTGGACTAGGCTGGCCTTGAACTCACAGAGATCCACCTGCCTCTACCTCCTGAGTGCTGGGATTAAAGGCATGTACCACCATGCCCGGGCCTTATTTATTTTTATTTTGTGTGTGTGTGAGTGTTTTGCCTGCTTGTATGTAAGTGCACCCGTGTCATGTAATGCCTGCAGGTACCAGAAGAGAGCATTGGATCCCCTGGAACTGGAGTTACAGATGGTTATTAATTACTATATTAGTCACTTTTCTGTTGCTGTGGTAGAAACACTGACCCAAGCAATTTATAGAAGGAAGGGTTTATTTGAGCTTACGGTTCCAGGGGAATTACATGGCAGGGAAGCATGGTGGCAGAGGTGGCTGGAGGAGGAGCAGAAGCTAAGATCTCACATCATCATGCAGGCACAGGAAGCAAGAGCACAGCTGGAGATCTGGTAAGGCTTAAGAACTCTGTAAGCCCACCCCCAGTGACTTGCTTCCTCCAGGATAGCCACACCTTCTAAAACCTCCCCAAACAGCACCATCATCTGGGGACAAAATGTCCAAACACTTGGAGCCTATGGGGGACATTATCATTCAAACCATCACAATTACCATGTGGGTGCCAGGCACCAAATCCAGGTCCTCTGCAAGAGCAACTAGTGCCCTTAACTGCTGAGCCAGCTCTCCAGTGCCATGGGGTAGGCTTTTAACATGGATTTGGAGGGACACAAACTTGTGGTCCATAGCAGGCCAGTTGGCTCTTATGCCTGTGTTTGCCCTTTGATCCTCCTCAGATTACTTCCCGCCCCTTTCCTGTTTGCTCTGGGTCATGGGAGTCATGGCCTTTGCATTTCTTAAACTCCTTAATCAGCTGCTTTGCATCTGAGTTTGGTCAATGGGGGTGATTGGGAGGTATTGGTAGGCTGAGTGACTTCCTTCTGTGCTGGGTGATCGCTCCAGCAACAGCTGTACCTCATCTGTGATGCCAGTTGATCCCACTAGCTTCTCAGTCCCTTCATCTCCCATGTAACCTGTTCCCTGGTTTAGCAATCTGTCTTCCTCCTCTCTATAATTTGGGATATTTGACATTTTCCTAACTGACTCCCGCTGGTAAAGCCATCATGAGCAATTGAGTTTCCCCTTAGGCTAGGGTTTTAGGACAAAATGCCTAAATGGTGGCTGACTTCCTAGCTTAGTCATCCATCCCTGGTCCAAGTTCAAGGCTGCCTCAGTTCAAAGGGCACCACCCACACAGAAATAATGACAGCGATGACAGCGGTAGCTTATGAAGGGCTTTCTTCCCCCCCCCCACCCCCAGTATCTTAAAAAATGTATTCCTTGACAATTTCACATATGTATCCAGTGTTTCTCGTTCATATCCACTATGGCCAACTCTGCCCTCCCACCAACACCCCCTCTCACATTCATGGATTCTTTTATTTTTGGAACCCACTGATTCCAATTAGTGCTGCCTGCTAGAATGTTGACTGGTCTTGTTGGCTTGTTCTTGGGCAGGAACCATAGCTTCATCAAGCTCATGAGTGTCTAGAAGACAGCATTTCACAGTACTCCTCCCCATCTTCCAGCTCTTGCCT